TTTGTAATTTTTATAAGCATCTGAACAGTGATACAATAAATAGAATTAACAATGGAAAGAAGAGTGTGAAGATAAAGATCCTGTCCTACTTCTTTCACAAACTTGCTCTTTAACTTTGGACAAATCTTTTAACCTCTTTTTACTTCAGCTGACTCACTTAGAACATGAAGAGGCACTATTGCTATTACATTTACCTAACAACAATAGTGTCTTTTACCATCCATAATGTTATCATTGGAAATAAAGGAACTTGAAGCCATCATTTATCCAACTCTCTTGCATTTATATCAGTCTTGTAAAATAACTTACTAATATATGTAAAATTCTTCTGTAAAACCTAAGCAGAAAATATTGACCAATGGCAGGCAAGATGCAGGGGTAAGAGAATAAATTGAGAGTCCAGCATATCATTGTTGTCACAACTGTCCTAAATTGTGAGCGCATGAGCAAGTTTCTTTATGTCTCTGAATTGTATTATGGAAAAAATATTTTTCTTATGTATAAAATTGAGATATAGCTATTTCCCTGGAAGAATTGGTATAATTAATAAATAAGATCACTTGTTGTTGTTATGTGCCATCGAGTTGTTTGCGACTCATAGCAACCCTATGTACAAGAGCCCTAAACACCGTTCTATCCTGTGCCAACCTCGCTGTCTCAAACACATTCATTCCCACCACTCTACTCACAGAATCTATCCATTTCATCGAGGGTCTTCCTCTCCTGTGCCATCCCTCCCCTCTCCCAAACATGATGTCCCTCTCCAAGGACCAGTCCCTCCTTGCAACATGCCCAAATTATGTCATACGAAGCTTCAAAATCCTTGACTCCAGGGAATATTCTGGCTTCACCCTCTCCAGGACAAACCTGTTTGTTCTACTAGCAGTCCATGGTATGTTCAACGCTCTTCTCCAGCACCACAGCTCAAAGGCATCAATTCTCTTTCTATCATCCCTATTCACTGTCCAACTCTCTGATGCATAGCATGTAATTGCAAAGACTATAGCCTGTATCAGGCATACCTTTGTCTCCAGCCTGATGTCATTGCACTTCAGTACGCTGAGTAAACTAAAACTGTTAACTATCTCAATCTCTTCACCATCCATACTGATGCTGCCAATTGGCCCAGTGGTTAGAATCTTTGTTTTCTTGATATTGAGCTTCAATCCATATTGAAGACTGCAGTCCTTGACCTTCTGCAGCAAGCGCTTCAGGTCCTCCTCAGTTTCAGTGAGCAGGGTTGTGTTATCTGCATAACGCAAGTTGTTGATGATTCTTCCACCAATGCTGATGTCATATTCCTCATCATACAGTCCAGAGTCTCGGATGATCTGTTCTGCATACAGATTGAAAATGTATGGAGACAAAATACAACCCTGACGGACCCCTTTCTTAATTTTGAACCGTCCAGTGTCTCCCTGCTCTGTTCTGACGACTGCCTCTTAGTCCAAGTATAGGTTTCGCATTAGCACAATCAAATGTTCTGGGATTCCCATTCTTCTCAGAGTCAGCCATAGCTTGTTGTGATCCACACAGTCAAAAGCCTTTGTATAGTCAATGAAGCACAAATACACATTCTTCTGGTATTCTCTCCTTTCTGCCGAGATCCATCTGACATTAGCTATAATATCCCTAGTACCGCTACCTCTTCTAAATCCAGCCTACATATCTGGCAGTTCTATGTTGACATATTGTTCCAAACATTTTCAGATCATTTTCAGCAGAATCTTGCTTTCATGTGTTATCAATGATATTGTTTGCTAATTTCTGCACTCTATTGGGTCACTTTTCTTTGGAATGGGAACAAATATCAATCTCTTCCAGTCAGTTGGCCAGCTGGCTGTCCTCCAAATTTCTTGGCACAACTTAGTGAGCACGTCCAGGGCATCGTCTCTTTGTTGAAATAAATTAATTGGTATGCAGTCAACTCCTGGAGCTTGTTTTTTGCCAATTCTTTCATAACAACTTGAACTTCCTCCTTCATCACCATAAGTTCTTGCTTATATGTTATTTTATGAAATTCCTCTGTGTCAGCCAATTCTTTCTGATACAGTGACTCTGTGTACTCCTTCCATCTTCTTTTTATACATTCTGGATCATTCAGCAGTCTACCCAAACTGTCTTTAAGTATTGCCACCCGTGGCTTGAATTTGTTTTTCAACTCCTTCAGCTTAAGAAATGCTGAGCAAGTCCAGCCCTTTTGATTTTCTGACTCCACCTCTCTGCACATTTCATTATAGTATTTTGCTTTATCATCCCGACCTGCCTTTTGAAATTTTCTATTCAACGCTTTGATTTCTTGATTTCTTCCTTTAGCTTTGGCTTCTTGGTGCTCTATTGCAATACTCAGAGTCTTATCTGACATCCATCTTGGTCTTTTCTTCTTCTTTAGCCTTTTTTATGATCTTTTGCATTCTTCATGGATGATTTTCTTGATACCCTCCCAGAGCTCATTTGGTCTATGCTCATTGGTGCTCACGGCCTCAAACCTGTTCCTGAGATGGTTTTGAAATTCGTGTGGGACAGACTTAAGGTCAAATCTTGGTTCCTGTGGACTTGACTTAATTTTCCGTTCAGCTTGAATTTTCATGTGAGTAGTTGGTGGTCTGTCCCACAATCAGCACCCAGCCTGGTTTTCACTGCTGATACTGAGATTCTCCAGTGAATCTTTCCACCAATGTAATTGATTTGATTCCTATGCTTACCACTAGGTGAAATCCATGTGTATAGGCTGCATTTATGTTTCTTATAAAAGGTATTTTTAATGAATAAATCATTGTATGTGCAGAACTCTATCATTCTATCTCCAGCCTCATTTCTCTCACCGAGCCCATGTTTTCCAGCTACTGATCCTTCTTCCCTATTCCCAACATTTGCATTCCAGTTGCCCATTATTATTAATGCATCTTGATTGCTTGTTTGATCAATTTCTGACTACAAAAGTTGCTAAAAATCTTCTATTTCCTCTTCTTTGGCTCTAGTTGTTGGTGCATATATTTGAATGATAGTGGTATTCACTGGACTTTCTTATATGCGTATGGATATTATCCTGTTGCTCACCACATTGTATTTCAGGATAGAGCTAGAAATGATTTTTGTAATTATGAAACCAACCCCATTTTTTTCTCCTCTTTTCATCCCCAGCATAATAAATCATGTAATCATCTGATTCAAAATATCCCATGCCAAGCCATCTTATTTCGCCAATACTAGTATGTCAATATTTTGCGTTCAATTTCCTTCTTAACCATGTCCAATTTTCCTACATTCATGCTTCTCACATTCCACGTTCCAATCACTAGTGTCTCCTTACAGCTGTTTCTCTTTTTCCGTGTTTCCATTTCTAAGATCTCAGTTTCAATTGCCATGTCTGTTAGTCCAAATGATAATCTAAGTGTGCTCTATTGTACATAGGGGTTTTTTTTAATTTTATTTTATTATTTTGTGTGTGTGTGTGTACCGTCAGATCAGATCTGACTGGTACAGGAAGAGATTATTCCTCCTTTTCCAGCAGAGCATCTGGTGGATTCGAACCTCTCACCTCTGGGATTGCAGTGCAGCTTCTTGCCACTAGGCCACCAGAGCTCGCCTGTACATAGGGTTTTCAAAGGCTTGTAATTTCAGAAGTGAATGGCCAATCCTTCTTCCTAGTCTGTCTCAATTTTTGAATATATTAACACAAATATGATATCTTTTGCGGATAGGCCAAATAATATAATAAACATTGATAAGGCCTCTTTAAAATATCTTCCCATGCTTCATTGGCTTTCAAGAAATTGATTTCAATACTTTGATTTTTTTTTTACTGAATTAAGTAAATACTCAAAACTACTATGAATTTTGATTACGTGTGAAATTGTTCCATAAATCATGCTTCCAAATTTTGATGTTGATTTCACTGTACGTCTTATTCTGGTCTGTTGTAGAACGTATAATGCCTAATCATATATTCCTTTTAAACAATTCTTTCTTTCCTTGGTTCCAGTGCAATGATTATTATCTATCTACTCGTGTCCTATTCTTTTCTGAACCCTCCATGTCAGACGTGATTTATAACAGTTGTGCTATGTAGTATTTTTCATTTTGTGACTTAGATATTTCTTTGTGGAATGTTTTACAAGTTCATTTTTTTTCAGTGCTGGATAGTATTTTATTTTATAAATATGTTGTTTGTTGTTATGTTATATCAAATTGCCTGCAACTTATAGCAACTGTATATTCAACAGCTCTAAACCCTGCTCTATCCTGTGCCAATCTTATTGTCTCTGACACACCTACTGCCATTACCTCAGTCACTGAATCAATCCATCTCATTGAGGGCCTTTCTCTCTTGCCCTGTTCATCCATCCTCTGAAGCACGATGTCCCTCTCTATGGACTGATCTCTCCTTGTAACATGTCCAAAGTATATCAGATGACATCATCACCATAGGCTTTTGTTCACATGTTGTTTCTTGAAAGTTTGTGCCTGCCAGTTCCTTTTGGTACAATGACTCTGTGTACTCTTTCCATTTTCTTTTAATGCTTCCTGGATCATTTATTATTCTGCCCAAAGCATCCTTAAGTAGTTTTGTTGGTTTTTTTTAATCCATTTGTTTGTTTATTGATGGGTGCTTGGATTGCTTTGTCTCTTTGCTATTGTAAATAACACAATAGTAAACATGGGTGTGCATATTTCTATTTGGATGGCAGGGGAGATGAAGTAATTGGTGCAATAATGTATAAATATTTTTTTAAAAGTGAGTATTTTTTTTAAAGTAAAAAAAAGGAGGGGGAAGAAGGGAGAATGGATAAAATGTACAATGAATGAATGAAAATCTTAACTTTTCTCTAAATTTCATTAAAATTACAATTAAAATAAAAAGTTTTATTCAAAAAATATTTTTATGTTCATTACTGAATCTGTGTTTCTTCACTTTATATGAAGTATTTAGTGATTGAAAGCCTTTGAGTAGACAGAAAAGGCCTTCTATATGTAACAATATTGTTCTTTTCCTACAGGAAACCCTAATAGATTGGTGTGATGAAAAGGAACTTAATTTAATATTAACAACAGGAGGAACAGGTTTTGCACCACGAGATGTCACTCCAGAGGTGAGATAGTATATGCCTTCCTCAGATTAATGACTTGAGTAATTTTCTGTTTACTAGTCTTTTTTATGATTTCTTATGTTGTATTTGTAATTTTACTAGCAGAAATAATAATTTGAGGTTCTAAGTGTATGAAAATCCTGCTGTGGAAGAATTGTTACAGAAAATAATTTATTGTGTAAAACTTTTTTTCCTTTCTGTTTGAACTAAAATGGTAAAATGTGAAGAAGACTGAATGTGTTCCAGAAGGTAATGCATCTCTTACCCTGTGATCTGTGGTGTTAAAGGAGCTTCAGGCACGTTGGCAAAGATGGAAATGACAGAATTCTAACTCAGAGCATGACATCTGATCTGATTTATTTTTGTTAATGCAATTTAGAATTTGATCTAATTTTTCTTTTCTGAGGGACCCTTATCTCACTGGTCTCAAATTACAAAAAAATGACGACAGGGTCACCAATTTTTAATATGCTGAGTGAAATATCTCAGTCACAAAATGACAAATACTGTATGGTGCCACTATTGTAGAATGAGGCTGACATCCAGGTGAGGGTAAGACTGAGAAAAACTGGATAAATTATGTGTACTGCATTGAAGCCGATGAGGGAGAGAACAGTTTAAAAGTAATATATTTTAGGGCATTATGATTATCATAAGAATTGGGAACTAGGGTTGCATCCTGGAGTATACTCAGGTTTGGGGTGGGGGTGGGGGGTGATTGTATATCAATGAAGGAGTTTTTTCTTTTGCTTTTCAAGGAGAAGAGTGAACTGGGGGTGGTGAGGGAGAAAAGAGCAACAGTGAATAAATGGAAATCCAAAATCTCTGTAAATGTTCATTGAAATTAATAAAAAAAGGAATGACTACAATAGGATATTTATACCAATTTAGCAACACTTTTGGATTTTTATACAAATTTTATAACACTTTTGATGAAGCATAGTTAACTTTTTTATCATTTAAAATATGAACTGTATTTAAATAATTTAATAAGCCATAAAAGTAGAATTAAAATGTAGGCTTCATGCCACCAGAATTTCCTTCAGCTGTTGTCATGAAGAAAAATTAGCAAAAGTGAAAATTATTTACACAATAGTGTAGTGTGTCTTTAGTTCCTTTTTAAGAAAAAGGTAAATATTAGGAGTCACTTCACAGCCATGTGCTATATTGTCATTTGTGGCATTATTTTCTTAACCCCTCAGATAGTGGGTTTTTTTTGCAGAATTTAAACTTATTTTTAATTATCTCCTTTAGTTTTTTAAATCAATACATTTTTGTATCCACTATTAATGGCAAAGTGGTTTTGCTTTGTATATGTAATCAGTGCTGTTCTTACTATGTTATAGTGATTTTCAGACATTAATCCAAATCAGTACCAACTACAAGACTTGTTAAAAAAATTGTTTTAAAACAATGTTGCTGGCCCATAGATCATCCTTTTTCTCTTAAGAATCTGTCCTCTAGTTTGTTACATAAAAGTCATAGCTCAGAAATTTTTACCACTTAAGGTTATAAATAAAGTAGTTTTTCTATTAAAATAATAGAAATAAAGTTATATTTGAAGATTGTTAATTTCAACTACTTTAAAAGGTCATTTCTAATGATTTTATTTAGCTTTTGATTACAGAGAAGAGATGATTCTTTGGACAATTCTTGTATTTACTTTAAAGCTTTGAGATAAACATTAAAAGTATTTGGGGTGGAAGCTGTCTCCTGTATAGATGTGCTGATATTTTGCTTTTATTTGTTTTGTTTCTAAGAAAATTCTTGTATACGTGAAGATAATGATTTTTGGAGTGTAGACATTATATTTAGAGTTTGAAGTAAATAACTTTAGGTTTATATATCTCTGTTTTTGTGTGATGTGTTTTGTTATTTCCATGATTTATTTTATTGGATAAGCTGAAAAATATTACTACAGCACTCATAATCAAATGACAGTATTTTTAGTTTTGGGAAATAATTTGTATTATGAAATTTTAAATTTTGTATTTTCTTCATCTTCAAATTGATACCAACATGCTAGACTAAAATTCAGATTCTGACTTCTGGTTCTGCTACTTATTAGCAAGATGACTATAAGCTATTCATGTAACTGTTGTGTGCCTTAATATTCTATAAAATGGGGATAATAATTATACTAAAGTAGTTGTGAAGTAAGAATTAGTGGTATGTATAGAACTATAATCTTGAATTCAGGCGGCCTTATCCATAGAGACGTGCACTGCTAATTCCCAGGTCACGCCTCCCTGGAGGTTCCCGTCCATCCCTGGCTCCACGGGAGGAAGATGAGCAGGCTCCTCCTGTGCATTGTGTAGCCTTGGAACTAACTCATTGGAGGGAGAGGCAGCTATGAATCTGTATTTACTCAATGACAGTGAGAGATTTTAATTGTTCCCATGAAATCCTCATGATCTTTGAAAAGCATTTTTTCCTTTTGATTATTTCATAATTTTGTCTTTTTCATCTCTGTGCATCAGACTTCTTGAATTTTAACATTCTCATGTGTTTCTTTCTCCTTCTTTTTACCATTTTTTAAATTTTCTTTTTGTTCTAGTAGTTGATAAGAATCTCTTTCCATGATCCTTGTATTTCATTATGCCAGATTTGAAAAGCCCTATATTCTTAATTAAATTTTCCATTTACTTGAAAACTACATAAGTACTCTTACATAGATACTTACCCCCAACTACCTAGGTAAAGCTTTGGTTGGAATGAGTTTTTTTGGTTTTTATTTTAATTGAATTTAGAATTTAAATGAGTTTGTCTTTTCAAATGTCCTTTTTTCTTTTCTTTTCAATGGAGTATCTATGGGAGAAAGATGGACAGTCATCTCCTGGGTGAAAACCCACAGAAAGGTCAGCTGTGGGTCAGTTCGGATTTGATGGTATACAACTACACACACATATATGCTGTCAATATCTGTGACAAATATTCATGTAAAGAGCTCTGGAGACCTAGTGTGAAGGAATTACACTGCTAACCCAATGGCAGGTGTTTCAAACCTACCAGGTACTCTGTGAGAGAAAGATGAGCATGTCTTCTCATGCCCCTGAACACTTGTTATGGGTCGGGTCCAACTTGTTGGCACACAACAACAACATCTGTGACAAAAGTCTGTGGAACTGTTAGGAACTTTGAATAAAATAATATATAGGATCACACAAATCTAATGTCTCAGTTATCTTTTGCATTTTTTAAAAAAATAGAAATCTTTTTTATAATTAAAGTACATAATTATTCTAATAGAAGAAATTATAGGCCTCTTTTACTTATAGTCAGTTTACTGTTGTAGAGATTTTTAGAGTTGTGTATGTGTGTGTGTACACACACAAATAAATATTAATTTGACATGTTGTTGTTATGTGCCGTCGAGTCGCTTGCGACTCATAGTGACCCTATGTACAACAGCCCTAAACTCCACTGTGTCCTGTGCCAATCGCACTGTCTCTGACACTCCCATCCCAATTATCCCAGTCACTGAATCAATCCACTATCAATTTACTATTGACATAGTAAATAAAAATAAAACTGTTTAAAAGGGATATGTGATTAGTTACTATTGTCATGACAGGAGTCCAGAAAGAAGGCTCCATAGTGGAGTGGATCTGGGGGGAAGGATTGTAAAACAATGAAAGAATTTTCTTTTACTTTTAAAAGAGAAAAGTGTACTGGGTGGGAGGGGTAGGCAGGGAGAAAAGTGCAATAATGAATGAATGAATGAATGGAAATCCAAAGTCTCTGTACATTTTCATTAAAATTAATAATAATAATAATAATAATAATAACTATTATTATTATTAAAAAGTTTTTAGCCAAAAAACCCACCTACCTTGACCTTCATATACCAGAATAAAAAACAACCTGAGTTTGAAAAACAAAAATAATCTCTGATTCCTTACTCATATTGATAGCCAATAATTGCCAACAATAAGTTTGATCTACAAGCATAAAGAGTAGTTGCATGTAGGATATGTGTATTGTTAGGAAAAAGACATAAGTTGTAAATTATACAACTGATGAAATAAAGCAATCTACATTTACTGGCAATGTGTGTGACCCTTGTCAGGAGAAAGGAAACATTTCATAAACCTTTCCTAGGTCTATTGGAAAGGTAGAATAGGTTTGTCTATCATGTCTACATATTTTATAGGGATGAGACTATGTTCAAAGGGAGCTCTGATGGCATAGGCCATAGGTAGTTGTACAGCTAACCCCAAGGCCACCTCTCTAGCAGGTCAGCTCTACCAGTATTCTGCAGGAGAAAGATGCGCACTCCTCCTATGTCACGTATAGCCTCCTGAAAATCTGATGGAGAGTCAGCAATGACTTGATTCCAACTTGACTACAATGTGAAGCCTGTCAGGATTAATTTTTTTAAGTTATTGATTATGTCTGCTTATAAAACCTACATTTTAGATTATTACTTCATCTGAGAATGAAATGCCAGTGGACTTTACTCCTGCCTTCAGCCTTAGATCCTAGCTTATCAGCTAGCATATAATAATATGCCTCACTCTTCAACATTTCAGAGTTGTATTTTGATATCGTAAGATTTGTTTTTCAAGAACAGGTTACATTTTAGATAATGTGATGAAGGTTAATCTCCTTATGCTGGTACAACTGGTGATTATGAAATTCTGTAGAATATAAAAGGGCAGTGGTAACCTACTCTATAGGGAATTGTACTACTAACCCAAGGGTTGCATCTCTCTGGCAGTTTGAATTCACCAATCACTCCATCAGAAAAATATGAACAATCTTCTTCCTTGCAAGTTACAGCCTCAGAAACCCAATGGAGTTTAGCTATGAGTCACTTCCAACTTGAAGGAATAAGTTTGTAGTCTATAAAGAGTAAAATATTATATTACTATACAAAATAGCATCTATCTCTTTTAAGTCCCATTAAAATTCAATAGCAATTTATGTCCCAAAAAGGACATAAATTATCCTTGCACAAATATTTTTTTATTTCTGAAAAGTAATGATTTAGTTAAAGGCAT